AGCAGCTAATAGCAGAAAGAACGGGTCACTCCAGTCTAGCAATTAGAAGCTACAAGCGGACGAGCGACGAGCAGACGAAAGCGGTGTCAGACGCATTGCAGCCACCCAAACCGAAAACTGCGAAAGAAGCGAAAACGCATGACCTATCCACCACCCCAACAGACGAGGACAAATCTAATACCACTGTCATAACCGATTCTTCCCAAGTGTCCGTGAATTTTGTAAAAGGAAATGTGAAACTTGAAATACGTTTTTAAAATGTATCGTATAATCGTCATTGCGTACTAGTATTTAAATAATTAAATGAAAATTCCACCTTGTTCTTTGTTTTCATTCAGTGGCCACCTGTTATGTTAATCAGCTTTTCACTCCTGTTGTGCTCATGAATATTTAAATTAACCCATTCATTATTAACAGTCCCGGCTTGTTAATCTATTGATAAAACAGTACCGTTAACAAGAATGCACAATTAATTAGGTTGAAACTGTTCGCTAACGAAAGTAAGAAACATAGTTAGAACAATGGGGACGAGACAAAAAGTAGTATAACTATCATTATTGCTACATTTAATTTCTTGATAATTATTGTGCATTTCATGAAACGTTCTAAACATTGCATTTAGAAAACAACTGATACTTTTGTTATGAAGAACAGTTTTCTGGGAGATAAGTCGTATGACCCTTCAAAGCCAATGTCCTGTCATTTTAATAGTATCTCACGCGTGAACAGTCAACGACCACATCCAGGAAAATTCTCTATCCATTGAACTACTGTAATGCGATATTATAACCATGCGTACTCTGTATTTATTATATTTTACATTAACAATTCACCAGCGCCTGTAATGTTTTACCTGTCAGGAAAACAGTACACAATTTTTAACCCCTCGTTTCAAAAAGGGACCGTCTGATTATGACTCGGAAAGATATATTATACGAGTCCTTTAAATTACTTTCGTGAGTGTTTCCTCGTTAATCCCTGGGAAAAAAGATAAAATCGAAATAATCAGCAACCAGCTGCATTGCCAGTGCATATCGCTGATGGTGTGTTAATTTACATAAATGCAAAAACGTATTGTACGCTTTGTCATTTGTTCATGAATAATTCAAAGCATAAAACTTGAAATGAACCTACTAATTCCTGTTTCCCCGATAACCGCCACCAAAAATTGCAATAATCCAGTGATTAGAGGCTCTATCTGCCTTGGTTGATGTTGTAGCTTCAAAGTTCTTTCTTAGCCAACTTTTTAAATCTTTGAGAAGAAACTTCAACGTCAACTTCAGACCTTTGCACTGGCTTAGGCACAGTGTGATGTCTGATTTACATAACGTATTTCATAAACCTGCATTGTCTTGACTACATAATTGTAACATAACTTGTAACATTGTCTGGATTATTGAAACAGTTAAGTTAGTTATTATGGTCATATCAAGTGGTATGCAATGAAATGATTCATGAGCAAATGACAAATCGTATAATACATGTGTGATGTTACAACGATCGTATATATTACTCATAGTCATCATTATCATCACTCTTGTCTTCTAAATGTTTCAATGGAATTGCACTTGAAGGCCTTCGACAATGTAGAACTTGAATGGTACTGAAAGTTTGAACAAAATAACTGATTATCATTAAATATGCAATATATATATATACACACACACCCACACACACACACCCCCACACACACTCCACACACCCCCCCACACACACACCCACACCCCCCACACCACACACCCCACACACCCCCACACCCCCCCA